ACGAATTACTTAGCTGGTTGACGAATTCAGCTATGTACAGCTTAGAAACAGCAAAACATAACAGAATCGATTACTTAGCTACTGGCATCGATGCTTACAGAACTACTAAATAACTGAATAACGAATTAACTACCAGCTCACAGAATAACAGCTACTCAGCTGTGAGGTGTTCTGTAGTCTTGCAAATTATTGTAACTTTAACTAACTTTGACAAGCTATAAACCATTTGCATTTAGAATGCGACGGTGATATATCAGTACATCACACATTATACTGTCATCAAGGTTTTATTAGTATTATATACTATTTTACGTATTTTGTTTCCAACTTGTTAAATCGTTAATTTGCGAGTTCACAATTTATTATGGCAGATAAACTGTAAATGTGTAAATAGTGACTATCGTCTACCTTGATTAAATATGAAAATATATTTAAAATAGTAAAATTAAAAGAAGATTTTGAATCATATCAAAATATTTGGTGCGTAAATATTGTGTATCAACTAAATTATTAACAGCAGATACATGGACATGTTCAAATCTGTTAAAACATTTAGAAGTAATACTTACTTATTCTAACGATTAATACTTTGTGTCTTTGTCCTACGTTATTATTATAATATTATAATAAAAGCTTAAACAGATAAGTTTTCTTAACATTGTATAATATATTAGGTATAATACCTATTAGTTATTACATATTACCTATATGCTATAGGAGAGGGTACCAATTTATTTTAGATGCAACATAAAATGTTTGACTTGAAAATGATGAGACTCAAACCAAATTGAAGAGAACAAGTGATTATATTGCAGAAGATACAAGTGAGAGATTAAATTTGGCAAAAGAAAAGAAACCAAAAGTTTCTACTATATTAGATTTTTCTCGAAGAAGTACTTTGATATCTCAAAGTAAGTCAGATTTAACTTTTAAATTGTTGATTACAAAATATTTTACCTTTTTTGCCTGTACCTTAATAGTTAATATTTGCTGAAGTGTACTACCGAGGTAGAAAAAATATTGTGAATATAATTTTTTATTTTATATTCATTTGTCAATGCACTTATTTGTTGCTTATTTTTTACTACTGCTATAAAATTATATTGTTTTAATTATTTATAAATATTCATATTTTAGAGGAGTTAAATTTGATTCAAAATCTAGTCATTAATGCTGCATTGCCATTTAATTTAGTGGAGCATGAAGACTTTAAAAAATTGGTAACAGTTGGATATAACGGCTGTCATGTATTAAGAAGGAAAACATTGATGAAAAATATAACGGTTCAACATGAAAATCTCATACTAACAATGAAAGATACATTTTCCAAAGTCGAATATTTAACTACTACAGCTGACTGTTAGTCCATTTTTAAAAGGTAGGGCATTAAAATAACTATGTATATTAACATGTTAGGTATAAATTTATATATTAAATATTTTTTTCAGGTCATATTTAGGGATTATATTATGTCATTGGATTAATCCAAAAACTCTTGAAAGAGTATCTTGTTTGTTGGCCATTAAAGGGTAGTCATACGTACAATATATTAGCTAAAGCAATAGAATCAGTATATTCGTACTTTAATATTAGGGACAAAGTCATATATACAACAACTGATAATGGATCAAATTTTGTCAAAAGTTTTCAGTAAGTTTTGTTCAGTGTTTTCTAATAAAAATATATTATTATTATTATTATAACTATGTTAGCCGTTAGATATTTCCTTATGGTTTTGTTTTACTAATCAAAATTTTGTATACAAGATTGCAAAAGTAATTTCAGAAATTCTTTTTATAAATGCCTATCTTATGGTTAATACCAATAATACCTATTACTTTATAATAAAATGTTACTCACTTGAAATAGATAACTTAATTTGAATTAGTTTTTTTATAAACTAAAATATTAATAATTCCTAATTTATACTTGTATTTTAATATAATTGGTTAACTAAGTTTTGATGCTGAATAAATGCTGGATTCAATTATTATTTATAAAACTATGATTAGATACGGTTCCTATTGGTCTGTTTGATAATAAATATGTGAATTATTTTCAGAATGTTTGGTCAATCATCAGAGGTTCAAGCTGTTTATAATAACCAAAAAGAAAAAGAAATACTTAATACTTTGGAAGAAATAAATGAAGAAGAAAATGTACATGGCAATTATGGGGAAAGTAATATTGAAGAAGAAGAAGAAGAAGACTTTGAGTTTTCTAGTATACCAATTTCTGAGGTTCTAAATAATGAAGAATTTAGTTCAAACCAACAAAGCAATTCTAATTGGGAAGACACTTTACTGTATAATTTGCCCAAACATCACCGATGTGCTTCACACACTCTCAATTTAATCGCAACAGCAGTAAGCCACATTTAAATATATTTTATAAGTTAATACTTATTTCTTATTTCTGGTTTCAGGACATTGAAAATGCTTTGAGATGTAATGATGACAAAAATGTAACCAACAGATCTTTATTGGGAACATATAAAAAGCAAAGTAGACTAATATTTGCAAAATGTCAAGCTATTTGGAACAAACAGAACCGTTCTAGTCAAATGGCTGACATAGTTAAAACCAATTTAGATGTATACTTAAAAACTCCTAATGATACCCGTTGGAATTCCTGGTTTGATGCTATAAAATTCCTTATTATTCATTTTAAAATGAGCCCTTCTAAATTTTATAAGGCATGCGATGCTCTAACAGTAAACCGTTTTTCTAAAACCGATATAGAATTTTTGGATGAGTATTTACTAATTATGGAACCACTGTGTGTGTGTCTAGATGTATTACAAGGGGAAAAACATATGTATTTTGGTTACTTATTGCCATCTATTACATCACTCAAACAAAAATATGATGATATTCTATCAGGAAAAAAATTAATTTTTTGCGATTTCCTGGTTACTGTGCTTAAGAATAGTGTAGAAAAACATTTTAATAAACAGCTCAGTGATCCATTTTTATTGTCTGCTACACTTTCACATCCATATTTCAAAACAGCTTGGCTTAACAATAGTAACAAAAAAGATACAGCTTTATCATTTTTATAAGCAATCTTGCTTGGAAATGTTCGAACAACAACATTTATTGGAATATGAATCATCAGACAGCGACGATACAAATAATTTTTTTGATTGGTCAAAAAATAAATCGAAATTAACTCTACCTTTGGAACAGGAAATTTCAAATTTTTTAACCAAAAGTCCAACTAAAGGTTTAGATTCTTTATTTGAAACTCCAACAATAAGAAAAGTATTTGTAAAGTTCAACACACCACTACCAAGCAGTGCAGCTGTAGAGCGTATCTTTAGTGTTGGTAGTGTCGTATTAACTAAAAAAAGAGGAAGAATGACAGATGAAAACTTCGAAAAAACATTAATGCTACAATGTAACAAACATTTAATATGAAAATATTTTAATATTTTGTTTAAATAAATACATTTTACATTCCTAATTAAGTATGTATTGTTTTTAACTGTGTCTATCCTGATGAAAGATGATATGTTTTGATAATATAAATATTATTCATAGAAGATAATAATTGCAGATAATTATTATTATATAATATTGTAAATTATAAATTGCCATATTTAAGTATATTATAATTTTAATTTACCAACAATATATTATATATTTAAATATTGTCCATAATCTCCTGTAACAATAATATATATTATTGTTACATGACACCTATGTATGTGTCAATTCCATAGTAGGCAATAGTGGGATATTTATGCTGAGATAAACATTGTTAATGATTGTGAGGCCTGTGGTCAATACGCACTGTTTATCGAAAGGGCAGTTCGAGACTGACCAGCAATAAACACGAACTCACCAAAAAACATGAACTCACCAACACCGGGATTGTTTACCACCATCTACATTTTGTTAAGTACAAACCAAAAATATATTTTGAACAGAGATTTATAAACCAAACGTGTTTTATTTATTGATAAGATCCCACATACCGTGTTCTAACCCCCCAGCTACGGAAAATTTATCCATAAGGACCAGAAAACCTTCCCTGGATAACTAATATAGTAACTAGGTTCCCCAGCCACGTTACACTCCCAAAAGCAATTATTAATTTATTAATATCCAAAACAAAAAATATGTTAAAAGTATTTGGACTATTTTTATGATGTGTATTCGAATACATATTCGGAATACTATTTTTCATGAGTATTCGAGTATTTATTCCAAATACTTTTAAAAAGTATTTTACCCAAGACTGCTATCTACTGCCAAATAGATGTTATATGTAGGGTCCACTCGTGTCAAATCTTTCTTGACGGTATCGAACCATCTTTGCCGTGGTTTCCCTATGGGTCATTTTTCATTCATATTTCCATTGAGCACTTTTCTTATTAGGCATCCTTCTGCACGCTACACGTGTCCAGCCCATTCTAGCCTTTTGCTACTAAGATATTTACAAATGTTCGGTTTATTATAAAGTCTTTGTAAATCTTCATTTTTCCTTCTTTAAAAAATTCCTAGGTCTACATTAAACACGAGACCATATATTTTCCTTAGTATTTTCCTTTCAAAGATAGCTAGCTTTCTCTCATCACTCTTTGTGCTGGCCCACGTCTCGCATGCGTATGTCACTATTGGTCGCAAATAAGTTATGTATAACCTTTCCTTTATTCGTCGCGATAGTAACTTTGACGTGAACATCTCTTTCATTGCGTAATAGCTTTTGTTAGCCATCATCAGTCTGATCTTTATCTCCTCACGCATGTTATTTTTCTCATTAATGTTCACCCCTAAATATTTAAACTCTTTTACTTGTTCGAAAGAATATCCGTATATCTTGAGATTGCTCTTCGGGATTACTTGTGTTGACATAACCATGTATTTTGTCTTCTCTTCTTTAACTGTTAAATCCATGCTTTGACTTACTTTGAATAATTTTTCCTTACTAGTTTATATTTCATTTATAGATGCATTTATAGAAGGACTAAGTCATCTGCATATGCTAGAAGAGTGTTCATCCCAACCAATACCATTTCTCGTTTTTCATGCATGTCCCTTATCACTTGTTCCAAGGCAAGATTGAATAGTATCGAAGATAGTGCGTCTCCCTGTCTTAGGCCGGTTTTGCATTCAAATGCTTCAGAGATCTCCTTCATAAAACGCACTTTGCAGTATGTCTGTTGGTTACAGATCTCTACTAGTCTCACCGATTTCCTTGGTATACCGAAATTTCTTAGTGGCTGCATGCTAGTTGCGGTCATTGACGATTTTTTAGATAAGCAGATATAACAGTTGTGGTCGCGCCGATTGTAGGTAATATCTTAGTTGCGGTCATATCGATTTTACCATAAATATATTCTTTGATATATTTTTTATTTTTTTTTTTTATTATAAAGAACAAGGTCTCGACTACATAGGTCATTGGCCGCGATTAATGATTACATACTAATTAATACATGATATGTAGATAATTATAAATATATAGTGGGTAACAAAAACAATATGAATTAGAAGCGAAAGAAGCAAGATACAGAAACAAAAAGTTAAATAGTTTTGTGTAAATTGGTGTCTCTTATAAAACTAAGTGTATTGTTGATATTTTGAGGTTCATTGTTGAGGCATTCGGCGATACTACTTGGAATGTTGTGTTTAGTTCTTTCTTCATTAAATTGGCGGCATTCTAAAAGGAAATGTTTGATGGAAATATTGGATCCGCAGGTGATGCATGGTTTTGGGTCTGTTTTGTCTATGAGGTGTTTGTGGGTATGCCAGGAGTGTCCAATCCTTAAGCGGGTTAGAATTACTTCTTGTTGTCTAGTTATGTTCGATGGGTTAATCCATCTATCGGTGATGGGTTTAATCTCTCTTAATTTGTTGTCCCTCAGTAAATGCCATTCCCTACGCCATGAGTTTGATATGATATTTTTTGCTTCTTTTTTAAGATCATTTTTAGAAAGTAAGTTCAATGTTTCGATGGTTTGATCACTGGTTGCTTGTTTTGCCATCATGTCTGCTCTTTCGTTTCCTTCAATTCCAGTGTGGCTAGGAATCCATGTTAGTGTTATAAGTTTGTTAGTATTGTTGAGAAGATTGATGATATTATTGGTAATTTCGTTATTTTTTGGGGGGGTTTTGGATACTTAATAGTGTACTCAGAGAGTCGGTTAGTATGTTGAAGGTGTTGTTAGGCATTTCCTTGATTATATGGATTGCTTTTTGGATCGCTAAGGCTTCTGCGGTGAATATGCTGTTTAGGGTAGGTAATCTAAATTTGTATTCTGAACCATTGATTATTATTGCAAATGCAATACTGTTTTCGGTTTTGGATGCGTCAGTAAAAACTAAAACCTGATCTCTATTTTGTGTTTTTTCTTTAAAAAGATTTCTGAATAATTGAGGGGCGGTGTTTCCTTTGTTGTTTTCAGCAAAGCTAAGATCAATAACAAAATTGTTTGGCCTCCAAGGTGGTTTAGTCAGAATTTCGGATTTTATTATATGTTTTAGGTTTATATTATGGGCATTAAAAAAATTTTCTATCCGTCTGCCAATTAGTTTGCTTATGTTGGTCTGTAGATAGTATGTATTATTGTTTCTTTTGTCAAATAAGGAATTATAGGTCGGGTTGTTTAGATATGAGGCTATTTTGAATGCGTATTGTAGTTCGAGTAATTTGCGTCTTTTTTCTAGGGATATCTCCCCGGTAATGCATAGAAGACTTTTGATCGGACTGCTTTTAAATGCACCTGTTATTAGGCGTAGGTTGTTGTTTTGAATTGTCTCGAGTTTTTCTAGACTTGTTGATCTGGCACTGCCGTATATGATAGCACCGTATTAAAGGGGGGGGGGGGGGCCTAGCCGGGGCGGGAGCCCCGAGGCCCTCTCGAGTACCCAAGTGAAAGGGGCCTAAACAATTTTAAGCCGATACACGTTTTTCAGCGATTTAAAAAAATAGTTTTTCTGCATTTTAAAAATCATTTTTTTAATCGACAAAAATAACTTAATAGTAAATACCTATAAAATCACTATGGTAAAAAAGACGCATTTTACTGTTATTTAATATTTTATTGATATAATTAATAATATCATCAATATGTAATAATGTCATTTATATCTGGTTATACCAATAATACTATAGACATATAATTTACATGTTTGTGGATAATACTGCTATTTTTTTTATAGTATTAGTGAAATACGGGAAATTGCTGGCGCTCTAGTATTATATAATATCTTATCGCAACGCATGTAAGTTATTTATAGCAACCCGTAATGCTTATGATATATTAATTTAGACGATCTAGTATCATTTTATAAAACTCCTGCAAATACGAGACTAATGACAACGAACTAATAATATTAATTTACATATTTTTGCCATTTTCGGTTAAATATTATTACAGTTCTCATTTCTACTGTGTAGTGTTATTTCTCAATTTCTCATATTGTGTTAAAAAAAAAACCTGGATAATCATAATTTTTTCTAAAATGATGAAATCAAAAGTTTTGAGTGGATCAGCAAAAAGAAAGAAGAAAGAGCAGCAAACAAAAAATATTTTACTAACTAATAAAAAAATTAACAGTTTATTTAGATGCATTCGACCTGGTAAGTGCAAAGCATTCAAATTATCATAGTCATTATGGAATACCTATATCATACATGTTATTTTCAAAGCTTAACATTTTTAAAACTAAACTTAGTATATAATATATTTATAAATCAATAATATTTTGAACCTTTATCATGGCCATTTATTGAAAAAGAAATTATCTTTTTTTATAAACAAGAATGAAATATTTGATATTGTTATAATTTTTAAGCAATGAATTAAAAAAACTACTCTTTTATTAACTACCTAGGTATTAAAAATTAAATATTTTTATTTAATAAGTATTTTATTTGCAAATTTATTATATACCAGTTTTTATTAAAAATTGTATTTTCATAATATTATTATAATGATAAAGAAGCCAACGGTTTAGCTGAGAGCCAGAGTGATATTGTGCCACATGAAAATTTGTTAGACATCAGTACAAACTGTGAAATTGAAGAAAAATTAATTGAAGGTAGGTATCG